ATGCGGTGTTATAATAAAAGTTTGAAAACATATGGTGTTATAATCCATTTTTTTGAGAAATTTATGGTGTTATTTTCTAAAATTTTCCAAACTTAAAAGTAGTTGAAATTAGCTTAAAGGTTATAAAATTATAGAAATTAGGAACAAATTTATTTGTATCCTCTTTTATATTCAATAATCGAAAGCTCAGTGTAAAGCCAAAAATATGTAGTTAAATCTCGATCTTGTAATTTTTCTTGAACTCTATTGCACTATTTTGAATTTTACTCTAATTTATTTGATTTTCATTTTTTCCTCTTTATTTTTTTTATTTTTTTTTATTCTCTAGCTGTTCTTTGCTTTTTTTAGAGTTCTTAAAAAAAAAAACAATAGTTAACCCTAAGAAAAAAAAAAGTAATAAATTTAAAAATAATATGATACACACTTACTTCGACATGAAAAAGGGCTAATGGTCGTTATACTAACTTTTATACCAATATGTCACCTTGCGCGAACTTTTATACCAATTTGTCACATTTTGCTAACTTTTATACCAATATATATGTTGCCGATATAATTTTTATACCAATGTGTCGCAAGGGTTCTAATTTTTGTACCAATGTGGCTAATTGGCCCAATAAACATACTATATAGGCGGTCGAGGCGGTATTTCGTGAGTGATTTAGAAATTCATCACAGGGAAAATTCGCCAGTTTAAGTGGGTGTTTATAATTTAAGCAAATGCATTGGTGATAGAACCTGGTTTGCCATATAGGCAAGTAGGCAACCTTGTTCCTTTAAATTCACAAAAATCTATTCTTTCTTCTAGATTTGTCACTCACCAATTAAATTACACAAAGTATTGGGTGAGGCTTCACCAAATTATTGGTGACACGGCCCTCACCTTAACCCAAACAATCTCTTACCTCAAAATGAACAGTTTCATCACCCTACTTCGATTTTAATTTTATACTTCAAATCTAAGAGTCGCATGCGACTACCACATGGATCATGTACACGACCTTTTGGATTGCATTGAATATTGTATGAGTATACACTTTTTTGTTTCCAGATGCAAAATTATTGAGAGTCGTGGGTGGATGCCAAGTGTGACATTCAAAATCATGTGCATATGTTGAGCATGAAAGTTAGAGTCGCGCGTAGGGCTAAGCAAATTGGCTATCTGATCTTATTCGATCCAAAATTTATGGTTATTTGAAATTTTGAATCGACAAAATCTAATCTGGAAAAAAAATTGATTTTTAGTTTTTGGAATTATAATGTTTCGAATTGAATCACAGAATATCCAATCCGAATTTTAATAACTAAATTTCAATTATAAAATGTACTTTTAAAGTGCTCTTACCTGCCATCAAAACTAAGCCATTAGACTATAGATGAAAATTTAATTTATCCCATCATCATCTCGACTTGGTCATTGTGCATTTCTCATATTTCTATTAAAGTCTACCCCTGGATTTTTTTGGTGTGTTGTTGATTCTAATAGGTTTAAACTTTAGTTTTTCTTAATGTTTTGTCTCTCCACATGATTCATCTTATTAAGCAATGAGCATTAATAGCAAATAAAATTAGAACGGTTATCTAGAAAATATTGTGGTGTGACAATAAGTCATCACTATCTTAAAGTCAAATTTATCCCACATGTAGCAACCAGTCTCCATGGATACACGACTTCAACTCTTCAATGTATGATAAAGAGCTTGATTGAGAAAACCTTTGAACAATACCCTGAAAATTTTTGAGAGATAATATTAAGAGGAATGGAGAACTCTATTTATAGCGTATGAGATTGGACCAGATTGGATAAATTTGGCCACCAATCATTGTGAACCATTGCGGAACTCAGCTTATTTCATTACGCTAATTGGAAAGCCTATTTGTATTCAAATTCCTACGATGCTTTTGTTGGGCTGTGGATCCTTTCCTATGTGGAGAAGCCCATTTGATTTGGTGACTATTTTGGAGAAATGTAAAGACTTCTTCAAAAAGCTTTTTTACTTTGACTTTGAGGTGCCTTTGCTGATTAAATTGGATGGGCAACAAAAGTTCTTTGGTTGGCTCAATTGTGGACAATAGAGTGAGATTGAGAGGAACAAATGTAGTGAGAGAAAGATACAGAGGGTTTCTAAGAGCAGCTCATTCACGTTTTTCAGTGAACAGTCTCAGAATTCACCTCCGATCGAAGCTCATCCATGATCCAATTTAGCTCAAATTTTGACAACTTGTCCGCGATGACGAAGGCTTCATCTTTAACGGTGTGATTCTCGTTTTATCTTACGGTTTTTGAGTTGCAACTTCTAGACATAACTCCATTTTTGGTGACATTTTTTCAATTTCATTCCTCTGCTGATTAGCTCTTATGATTGTTGTTGTTGGGTGAATTGAATACACACTTTTGAAACTTGAAATTGTGTTTGTGTAACATTTCTTTATCATACTAAGAGCACTTGGGTGGACTCCCTAATCGTCTCGTAGTTTTTACTCTTCTCTTTGAAAAGGCTTTTCATGTAAACATCATGTGTTTTTCCCTTGGTTGTTTGTGCTCGTTCATTGATATAAGTTTATGTGTTGATATTGCTGATCTTGGAGAATATATCATATTGCTTATATGTTGGTGTGACATTGAACAAACTAGTAGTGGAAACTTGCTTGTGGTTTGTTTTGTCACTTGATTACTCCGCAAGAAGCGTGTTTACCTCAACAACTAAACCTCAAGGGTGGAGTGCCGTCGAACTTCTCTTATTTGATTAAAATTAGTTGTCAACTTAAAACCATCAAATAGATTACGGACTAATTTTATGGATTCTCAGGATTTTCACATGGTGTCATGGTTGCTGACTAAACATGTTCTATACATGGAACAAATTTAAAGTTGAGGTTCTCTGATTCTTGTCCTTACCTGCATCCATGTAATATGCATCACCTGAAAATCTGAAATGATCATGTCATACTGTAAAATCCCAACTACAAGTTTGGTATCTACACTGTAAAGATTGTACTTCTTTGTTACGCAACAAAAACCTTTTTGAGTAAAACAACACATTAGTACTTCACCGTAATCTTCTATGACATGACATACTTCTAACAGGAAAACAAAATCTAAAATCTAAAATCTAAAATCTCCAAGGAAAAGCTTCATCTACAGCTTGAATAAGAGAAAGAAGCTCGTCAGAAAACAAAACACGCCCAGCAGGCTGAACCATTGGCGGTCTACTATTGTTCAGTGCTGAGCCATTTTCTCTCCGCTCACAAAAATTGGCCCTACAAACAGGACAATGTCCATGATTTTTCACCCAAGGTACAATGCATTCTTCATGAAACATATGACTGCAAGGAGTCAGCATTACTTCTTCTCTAGGCTCGAAATCCTCTAAACAAACAGCACAGCCTTTTCCACCTTCATCTCTATCCTTTTCCATTGCCGTGGTACTAGTGCCTTTGTTAAGATCCTTATAATATAGATTCACTCTTCTTGCCAAGGTTCTAGGCGTAGGATTGTAGATTTGTTTCTTGAGTTTCGCAAGGACGATTTCCTGCTCTTCTTTCGTTAGCTTTGAGTCATCATTTTCTGTAGGTACATGAATGGTTTCGTTGCCACTGAATCTGGGCATTAGCCCGTGTGAAGCTTGTGGAAACCTAGGGCTAATTCTGTGACTCGTGTTGTTGCTGAAGACTATGATTCGTGTTGCAGGATAAGAATCCGAAGGAATACTGCAACGTTTACTACATAATTAGGCTTCTGTTCAAGAAATCAGAAGCTACATAAATAACATCAATAATCAGTGCTCAAAATCAGAGGAAGAAACAGCTCTTGTTCCCTACTCAGCTAATTATATAATGTTTTAAGCTTACAAACAGATTTTATCAGCCACTCACATACAATTTTGATTTAATGAGACATTAGTCTTTCAGTTCGTTTCATGGTTTATATATTTACAAATATCTAGGATCATGTATTTTCCATACACAATAAGACAATACGCAATACCATGCTGAATAAACTCTACAAACATAAACTGGGTACGCTAGATCTACCTTGTTCGGCCATATGCCGGTCTTATGACAGGTCTTTCCGTAAATGGCCTGTATGCCGCTGGTGCACCATATCTTGGATTCTGCAATAAAAAATACATCAAACATCTGAGGGAAAAAAAAAATGTTTCAACACTTCAGATAAAGTTAAAAAATCAATTCTTAGATTTACATCTTGAGAAATCGAATGATGATCCCATCTGAGTTGTTGATTGTCATGCAATGGAGAGTCTCTATATCCCCTGATCATTTTGCCTTTTCGTTCGTTTAACACTTCTAGGTTCGAGCAATGAAACTTAAGTGTATGGTTGCTGCTAAGTGCAGAGGATTCTTATAGCTTCACAACTCTGGATTTTTCTTGAAGTTTTTGGCCTCCTACTAAGCCTTGTCTTTTATATTGTTCTGCTACTAATATTCTGATAAAAAGCTTTATTCTGTGCCTGTTGAAGATACTCTGCAATGTGTTATAGGTGTCAGAGGAAATGACTTTGATGGATATCAAAGAAAGAATCTAGTTCTTTTGTGGGGTTCATGACAAAGGCTTCAGCGGTTATAGTTGCATCATTTTTCGGTTGTGTTCAGATTGATTAATAACCTATAAAACCAGGAAAGTTGTTTTTGTCAAATCATCAAATCCAGAATAAAATATGTCTTACTGTGGTCATGTACAAATTTAACTTTAAGGATCGCCTACTATCACCATAATGCGGAAACACTAGAACTTTAACTTTTTTTATTTAGACTTAATTGTCACATTGTCCTTTGTCATAAACCAGAGATCAATGTAATGTATACTCGTATAACTTCTACAAAGAGATGACCGGTACAAACTTGGCCACTATATGAGTATGTGTCTACGTATGTCATATTAGAAAATTACAGAGTATTAAACAATTTTTATTTGGAATTTATGCCATGACTCGTGAATCCATATCCACGTTGATTGCCAGATACAAGACACAGTAATGTACAGAAAAATAATGTTTGATAAAATAGTTATAACATAACTCATTGGACAAATTTCCAACTCCAGTTTGAACTTGGTGGCAATAAAGCAGCCAGCAAATTTTTTTCTTTCATTTTCATCACAATTTTCTGATAATATGTCAATTCAGTAAAATGAAAGCAGGGCAACACGGTACCTGGCCAGCCAAAAACCAAAAGTCTGGCTAAAAAATTGAAACTTTTATCTGAACCTAAAGTATTACAATTGGCTCTGAATTTATATATCCAAAACTAGTGAAGATCCATACTCCTTGGCCTGTTTAATCTGAAGCTATTAGACGAGTACCTAATTTCTGAACTTCAGAACTTCAGAAAGGCAGGAAACTCGGAAGGATACAGAATTGCACATGGTTTGGGAATTCTTCTCATAATCTCATGGTAAGGTACGTTGAATGCAGCTTTACTTGGTCATTGTAGAAGAGAGGATAAAATTCCAAAAAATGGAACCAAAAGACATGAAAGCCACCCGCGTCTGAAGAGGAACAACCCTACAAATAAGCCACAGGAGATGAATTAATTTAGGAAACAAAAGAAAGGTCAGCCACATCCAAAAATCCATATGCTAAAAGTAATTGGTTAACAGGTCTAAATATCTGTCATTTTGGAACAACAGAGATGTTAGATACTCCATCGAAAGTTTTTACCTATTATTTCTTAGATGTTGCCAAATTGTTTGCATTCTTTCAAAATTGGGAAATTCTACATGGTGGCCTCCTGGATCCAATTTTTCTACGTGGAAGATAAACTTTTTTCCAACTCTCTTAAGTGGCACCCAAGTTTGAAAAAAATAAGTATAGTGCCCTTTTTTGGGTTTGATGGCTAACTTTTTTAGGTTTTTGGTTAACCATAATTAAATTAAAAAAATAATAAATTAATTTTTTTTTTTTTTTAAAAAAAAAAAAAAACAAGCCAGCCACCCATGGCAGCCGCCACTGCCCCCACCGACGCGCCCAGACCCCTTTCCCCGGCGCCGGCGCCACCCCGACCTCCCTCCCCTCCCCCTCCCTAACCACCGTAACCCCTACCCATTCCAATCGAAAATCCCTAAAAGTCATCAGAAAAGTCCGGTCATTCCTCCCAACACACCCGAAACCCTAGCGCCGGCCTTTTCGAGGTGTAAGGGAAGGGGCGGCCGGACTTTTTCGGCGAGTTTTTGGAATTTTCGAGGGCTAGACGTAAGGTTACAGGATTGGGTGGGGGTCGATTTATAGGGGCTACGGTTGTTGGGGACGGGGAAGGGGAAGGAAGGGAGGTCGGAGGTCGCCGGCGTCGGGGAAGGGGATCTGGGAGTACCAGCGCCGGCGACGGGCGACAGTGGGGTTCGGTAGGTGGCTGAGTCGGTGGCTGATTGGTGGTTTTAATTTTTTAATTTTTTTTTTTTTTGAAGAAGAAGTTGATTTAAAAAAAAATAAATAAATTAGTTATGGTTAACCAAAAGCTAAAAAAGTTAGCCATAAAATCTAAAAGAGCACTATGCTTAATTTTTCAAAACTTGGGTGCCACTTAAGAGAGTTGGAAAAAAGTTTGTCTTCTATGTAGAAAAATTGAATCCTAGAGGCTACCATGTAGAATTTCCCTTCAAAATTTATAGGATCAGTTAATTTCTCATTTGAACCCTGCATGTATTAACACTTTCACATGTCAAAGTTTTGCATTGATATATTTTTATTTATTTATTTTTTCATTTTCAAAATTACCAAAGAATAAAGGCAAAAATCTATTACTTTAGTTAGAATACATAACAGGCATATTCATCAACTAGCAAGTACATTGAATTCAATAAATGCCTAACATATCCCAAATTATACATTTCAACATCTTTCTAAGTCACTGAAACAAAGACAAAGGTAGAAGTAATACCAAAAGTTCAGTACACTATATGGAACCCAGAATCTAAATCCTGCAAAACAAATACAGATATCAAACATCAGCGTCCACGGAAAGCAGGACAGGAAATCTTGTCCTTCAAAAAAAGGCAACTTATTATCAATTGAATTTACATACTTACCAACAAGCAGGGTAGGAAGGGCATCCTTTTGATATTTTCTTGGTAGCTCACATAGCTTCCCTTGCCATAAATTATTCCATGCAAAGACAACAGCAATAACTGATGGACCGAGAATTATTTGGTTCAACAAAACCTGAGAGTTGGTGAATCATCAACTTCAGATATCACAAATACACAATAGGATGTCTAGAGCAAAACATCAAAGAGAAAGTTTGCGAGCACCAGAAATCATTCAACAATGAGAAATACAAGCATGGTAACAGCAGAAGAAACAAAGGTAACAACAATGATAATTTGATAGCAAACAATAACACTTACAGAACAATACCTTTGTTAGTAGGTTCTGAACCGTTGGCTGAGGAAAATATCGATCTAGGGTTTGATACCACACATAAGATCCAGGGCCATAAAGCAAAAACCCATAGGAAGTCATTCGAAGGGCTCGTAACCAGTCATGACTTGAAATAAGACTCTGGATAATATCCTGCAACCAAAACCTAGGTTAAAGTTATAAGCTAATATGTTATAATGCATATCTTAAATATAGTCCTCAGTGAGTTAGGTACTCGAGATTACCTTCCCCAAGGTTGAACACTCAAACAGAGATATTGAGGCCAACCTCTCAGGTCCCCAGGTACTTTAGGAGGGAGAGGGTTTAATCTTGAGAATTTTAGTTTCAGACCTCAGCCTACCCCTTTCAGATAAGGAGTTACTCTATCTATAGTGCAACATTTTGCAATAAAGTAACCTAAGGAGGGGCAATATGGGTAGTCTAGCATTATTAGGTTAATAGTCTTACTCTATTATAATTAGAGGGAGTAGAAAGGAGAGGGTAGGCAGAGATTGGGAATGAATCCTTGAGAGAGTTGTGAACTCAAGTCATTATTTGGAGAGTTGTGAGCTAAACTCAATGTGGAGTTTGATAGGCTAAATCCATCGTGTGTAAACCGCTATTCTGTGAATCAAAGCCTCAGTCTTTCTTTTCTATTTTACTGTTCTATTGCTTTTCTCGGTGATTTGGTTGTGCTTGGCTTGAATCTACTACACATTCAGTACATGAATGAGAAATAAAATCACATCTAGCCAAGCGACGGGAGATACAGTAACCCCAATAAGTCACTAAACACTACCTTCATGATTGGTTAAGAATAAATTGCCTACATCTGGATATCCCATATATAGTATGCCCACGCTTAATGAACCTATTAATAGATGACTCAAATGCATCTATCAATGCCGTATAGTATCCCCCCATACTAAACTAACCTGTCATGGGCCTATGGTATGCCCCATGCTAAACGAACCTATTACTCGGCCACTCAAAGCGAACCTGTCACTTCCCAATAGTTTGCCCCCATGCTAAACGAGCCTATTATTCGGCCACTCAAACAAACCTGTCAGTGCTCTATAGTGCCCCCATGCTAAATGAACCTATTACTCGGTCACTCCAACAAACCTATGACTGCCCTATAGTATGCCCATGTTAAAATATTGTTTTCAGACTGTGAATACTACTAGATATGCCCAAAACTCAATACAGCCATCAATAGCATGAATGCATGTGCAACTATGAAATTCAATTTAAGATCACAAAGCCCATATATTCAACAAAATCCCATAAAAAACACAATATATCTCTAATTACCCAATAAATTTCTTCCCAACACAACAATTCAATAACAAAGAAACCACAATTCAAGAAATTTTACCCTATTAGCTTCAGAAACTCACAAATTCACCAAAACCCACAAACCAATAACAGCAAAAAAAGAGATAGAAGGAGAAAAATGGGAAAAAAAGACCTTATCAGAGTCATCAGTATCAGATTTGTGGGTGATAGAAGTCCAGCGTTGTCGGAGCTGAGCAATGGTGTCGCCGGCTAAGGCGAGAGATCCAGCAGTCAGCGCTTGCTTAAGCGGGAAATGGTGGGCGGAGTTGGGCTGAGCAGAAGACTCCGATGAAGAGGCGTTGTGCTTGTGGTTTCTCTCTCTTCTTCGTGGTTTTCTTCCTCTGAGACGAAATTGGTTGAAAGGGTGGGTGCTCCACCATGAACCTCCTAAAGCGTCCATTCTATCGTAAATACTTTGAGAATCCACTCAACCACTCATTCTATCGTTTGCCTTAATCGGTTGCAAGAAATTGTTGCGCGTTTGTACTTTGTAGTATACACCTTACGTTGCTAATCGAGCGAGCCGAGCCCAAACTATGGTCAACTCGATTCGTATCTGTTTTAAGTTTGTTCGAACTCGAACCAAGCTCAAACCTTTATGAATCGAGCTTTTTTCGAGCCGAGCTTTAACCAAGTATTGATCGAGTCGAACTCAAGCTGTTCATGAACAACTTTGACTTATTGTTATCCTTAGTTTACTTTTTTTAATTCTGTGACGAGATTTTTTTTTTTTTTTGATGAAACTCTGACTTATTACTGTGTACTATCTATTATATACTTTCTCCGTTCTTTTTTACTTGTTTCTCTTTGACTTATACACTATTCACCACCCCTCCTTTGACCATCTTTTGTGAATAATATATAAGGAAAAACATATTCCTGTGAGATGTTGTTAAGTCCATCTGAATAAGTACGATCATAATATATAACTTTTATAATTTTTAATTATGGAGAATTAAAGTCATTGATCGTCAAAATTCTGCATTGGCAAGCGTGATAAAAGATACAAGTCAAGTAAAAAAGAACATAGGAAGTATATATTTATGTTTATATACATGATTTTTTTTACATGGAAAAAATAATCGAGCTTGTTTACGAACTTTTCGAGCAGAGCTTGGCATAGCTCAGCTCGACTTCTTAAGGTATCGAACTGAACTCAAACCCGATCCAAGCCACCACAAATCGAGTTTTGATCGAAATTTGACCGAATTGAGCTCAAATTGTTCATGAATAGGCTCGGCTCATCATCACCCCTATTCGTAATTTCGTTCCTTATTGTTTACTCTACTTTTCTCTTAAAGTTGGCACTTTAAATTTGTTATGTATCTTATTAACGGAGTACATTTTTATGTTCCACAATTATTAAAAATGGTTGCAACATACTATGTGCAACACTTTTTTTTTTTTTTTATTTTTTTCCATTTTGAATATCATATTTTATTATCTTTTTGTTCATCATATCATTAATAAGTCTTGTCTAAGGCGGGTGTACGTTAATTTTATTGTAAAACGGTTAGTTTGAGGGTAATTTATCTATTTTTATGGTAACTTTAATTTCTTAAAGGGTAACTTTTAAATTGTTGTTGGTTTGAATTTTAGTTTAATGTGTAATTTCTTATAAATTCATGATTACATACTATAAAGGCTAATATGATTGATATAATACATTAAGTTTTTTGTAAGATAAAATTTAGGGATTCTACTTGGTGGCCTCATGGAAGTAAAAATTCTACGTGGAAGACGAACTTTTTTTTTTAGTAATCTAGAGTGGCACTGTAGACTAGTTAAATTCATTTAAGTGGTCTAATTATCATTAAATTGACTAACCATATGGTACATTTGCTAACCTAAATTATTAAAAAGACTAACCTACCCTTAAAATAATCCTTCCTTCCTATTTTTTCATCTATTTCCCACCTGGCTGTTAGTTCCTCATTATATATTGCAACCCTCTTCCATTTTTTGACTTAGGGTTTATCATCTACTACTGAGATTTTCTTGTAATCTCCAAGCAATTTGAAAATAAATTTTCGTGGTGTTGCTGCAAGGAAGATGTGCGCTTCTGATGGAAGTTTCTAAATGGGTGAAAATGAAGCACTGCAACCGCACCCCCGCAAAAAACGCAGAGGATAGGTTTTCAGTTTCAATTAGTAATCCAAAAAAGCCACACTACAAATGCAAGGGTTGTGGGTTTTTTGAATGGGTGACTGAAGAAGATGTGAGGTATTATGATGCTTCCCCAAATTTTGAAGTAGCTGTAATTCACAAGATGGTGGAAGAACTTCATGCATGCTTCAAAAGGGCTATGAATATTTTTGTTATGACATTAGTAATTTGTGTTTTTTATTATCTTAAATGATCTTAAAATGATGTAACCATTTTAATGGTGGAAAGTAGCAACTTTAGATGATGCTGTTTGATGTAGGATGTAATTGAACCTATGTAATTCAATTACATATAAATAAAAGTTAGTCATGACATTTGCTTTTAAGAGTTGTACAATTATTCAAATATTAAGTCATAACATAGAGGCTATTCCAGGTGTGGTACCTAGGGTTCGGACTGGGAGCGGTGAGGTCCAGCTGGATAACCTGCACAAGTAACAAGCATAAATGCCCTCAAGGGTGGCTCGAGGAACCCCCATCCGAAGCTTAAGTTAGTTGAGGTTTAGAGAGAGAAAATGTACTTAGATAGAGAGAGAGAGAGTGTGTGTAATAAACTTATGTGTCTAACCCTTTTTTGTTGTACTTGATTCTCTATTTATAGGTGTATGATCTCCTTCAGCTGGAGACATACTGGTCAGCTTGTGAGCAGACTCTAACGAGCTGGTGAGCCCCTTTGAATATCTTTCCAGCGATGAGTGCGCACCCCGTGAGTAAGACCGGGAGCGTGGTGATAGCTCAACAGGAGCTATCCTATACAACTAGCCCCTCAAGAGGTGGTATGAGGTCACTTATGCCAGCTCTTGATTGATTGTTGCGCCTCTTTTGAGCGAAGCCGGCTGCGAGGTTATAGCTCAGCAGGATCTATCCCATACAACTAGCCCCTCAAGAGGTGGTATGAGGTTACTCATGCCAGCTGTTTTGAGTGTGTAACCTCTTTAGTAATTACTTAACAAGTCGTCTGGCTGAGATTCCCTCCGCATAACTAGCCCTCAAGTCATAGAATAGCGTACGCGGTTCTAAGACTTAAGAGAATAGGTTGTGAAGTGTTGAAGATGCTGCTTTGTAATATGTCAATGATAATAGCCCCTCAAGTTTGAGAATTGATGAGCTGGAGCGAGGAATTTCGATTACTCCCGCTGAAATTTCAAGAGATGACAAGCTTGAGCGAGGAATTTTGATTACCCCTGCTAAAGTTTGAGAAATGATGAGCTTGGTCGAGGAATTTCGATTACTCCCGCTGAAGTTTGGGAAATGATGAGCTTGATCGAGGAATTTTGATTACTCCCGCTGAAGACTGATAAATGATGAGCTTAAACGAGGAATTTCGATTACTCCCGCTGAAGTCTGAGAAATGACGAGCTTGAGCGAGGAATTTCGATTACTCCCGCTGAAGCAGGGCTTTTTCTTTGGCAAGAACATCGCCTTGCATGCGTGGGACATGTGTCGGTCATCCGGAGTGCAGTTATTTTATTGTGGCGACATGGCGGTTTTACTTAGGAGATTAAGTAAAACCGCTCACTAATGCTTTATTAAATTAACTGCCTCCATTTTAACTTTAATTTCTCGTTCCTTTTCTTTTCATCTTCCACATTTAAAATTCACTCATTCCTCTTGCTCTTTAATCTCCTCCGCCATTGTTCGCCTTTATCTAGTTGCTACGCATTGTTCCTGTAAGTGTATTTCTGTTGTTTTTTTTTCTTGTCTTTCATTTGATTTTGTGCAATTAATTTTGCCTCTATTAATTTCTTTTTCCCTTCAATTTCTTTTTTGCCCTGAATCATTTCTCTTTGGCTAAAATTGGAATTCTTCTTCTTGATTTTTTGACTTGGGGTTGTGGTTGTCGCTGCGCGTCATCTCTTCCGATGTGTAGTCGAGTGCGCTTTTTCTCTCCAAAAGGTACTTCCTTTGTACCCTTCTTTTATATATTTCTCCTCCCTTGTTGCAAAGTTATGTTTTTTGCTTAATTTCTTTGCAAGATTGAATCTTTGCCCTTGATTTTTTGTTACTATTCACATGCACTCTTTCCTTGTGTTTGTATTTGGTTGTGCTTCCCTACATCAATTTTGTCTCTATTCTTCTTTCGATTATTTGTTTTGCTTGCCGTCGGGGTGAAACTGATTTTACTTTTACTTCTCCCCTTGCACCCTTTTCTTGGGGTTTTCTTTCTGTTTGTAGAACCGAAATGTCTAACGCCTCCAACATGCGGAACCCGAGTTATCCCTCTGTTTGCACTAAATCTGCTTCATCTCCTTAACTGTCTCGCTAAGGTGAGCGTTCTGAGCGAACTTCTTTTGTTTCTCCTGCTTCACTCCCCGTCCTTATACAAGTGGTTATGCCGGATGGCTTTTCCCTTGCTGGGAGCGAGTTGGATACTGCTACGGCCCCTTCAATTGAAACGAGGTTAGATGGTATTCGTCTCGCTGCCAATAGTGCTTTTCGCTTTTTTCGGCATCGGACTCGTCCTTCCTTTTTTGACCCATATTATAAGCGGGATCTCACTATTGATGGAGTTACCCTCTCGCATGTCATGCGCTCTTTGCGCCACAAGTGTTTGGCTGACAAGGTTAAAGCTAATCACCCTGATGTTTCTCTTATTAGCCCAATTCCCCATGTTCAACCTTTAAACAATTTATCTTGGCTTGATGACATGGCTGATGTGAATCGGTTTGATCATATGTAGTGCGGGGTGCTCATTCTCCATCTCCTTCCCCATCTCCGTCGTCGGTGAAAGGCATGGGTCAACCTGCTAAGTCTCCTAGCAAGCAGGCCTTTCAGGCCTGTTAACCTTATTATGTGGTTGAGCCCGTAAAAGAAGCAGCATCTGACTTCTTCTTAAATGAGAGGTGTATTGGTCCTAAGAATTGTACGCTTGACTCCAACTAGCGTAAGGATGCCAAGAAGTTAGACTTGGCGAAGGTGGGCCAAAGTTTCTATGGGTTTGGATCGGGCTACCAGCTGGTTCTTCCTGCTGAGGGCTCAAAATTGTCTACTCCCCCTTATGGTCATATCACCGTGTTTGCATCTCAACTTGATTTGGGTTTACACTTTCCCTTGGATCCTACGTTGGACAAGGTTATTTGTGCCTTTAACCTCTGTATTTCCCTGCTTCACCCTGGGTCTCTTCATACACTGATTTGCTTGCTTGGAACGGACCTCTTCCAACTCATCTAAGCTTGGTTGGTACTATGTGGCACCCAAAGATGGCAGGGTGTTGTCTTACCCAAAGCTTGGCGCTCATGTGACTAGACTGGGAAGTTCTTTTGGGTGGCTATCCCCTTTAGTTTCAACGTGCAACGTAATTTTAGGGTTGTCCGCAC